CAGTCTCCTCTACAAACAATCCCACAAGCATCCTCCGAGCACATATATCACCACAGGTAGCCACATGCACAACACTCTTTACAAGACCACCCCCAGTGCAAGCATGCCATTAAATGTGAATACAAATACAAAAAGATAAGTCCTGCGCTCACTCCTGGGCGGCAGCAATGACCACAGTACACATCAGCCCCATTATATAGTAAAAACCAAAGAACGAAAAAAGTAACCTGCGCTCTCTCCTTAATCCCTATGTATATTTAAACAAATGGAGGTCATTTAGTTGCTCCAATGGCCATTGGAAGGAATGCCCGCCTGCCAACGTCAAGGCAGACCCCCCTAAGCGGGTCCTACACCGACCCTTCACCTTGCTTCCTTGAGCTTCTGGCAAAGATATCTCTAATGAGACAGAAATGGGGTATTTTTTATATACACCCCTATATACTTATTAACCCTTAATAGGACCCGCTTAGGGGGTCTGCCTTGATGTTGGCAGACGGGCATTCCCTCCAATGGCCATTGGAGTAACTAAATAACTTCCATTTGTTTAAATATACATATGCTATTAAATGTGCTCTGTTGTTTTTTTGGTTTTTTTTTTAACCCCTTCAGGACCATCAGCGGTAAAATGTGCGTTTGGACCGCTGATGGTCCTGAACCGTCATAGCGAAAAACGAGCTGCGGGAAGCGATCAAAGATCGCTCCCGCCAGTATAACACTGTAACTATCTGCCAGACATCCCAGGCAGATAGTAACAGCCAATTGCGGCATGTGAGCGATCCGCGATTGCTCACAATTGGCTGCTGTCAAAGTGGGTGTTACAAACACTCACTTTGACAGTGATCTCTGCCCCTCTCTCCTCTGTAGCGTTTTGTGAGGCGAGAGAGACAGAGATCGTGATAGTTTGTTGCAGCAGTGTTCAGTGACCATCAGATGGTATCAGTATTTTTTATTTTTTTTTATCACATTTTAACCCTTTCCCTGCCAGATCTGTTACAGCAGTGCATTTGTACTGTCTGTATTTATTTATTTTTGCCCTTAAAGGGTTAAATTTGTTTTAAAAATCTGTGTCTTGGTCTGTCTTAGTCAGTCAGTTTCCTTCCCCCAAATCTCCATTAGATTTTTGTGACAGGAGTTAGTTTAGGGTTTGCTGTTTAGTCTGTTTTAGTAAAAAAAAAAAAAAAGTATAAAAATGTTTTTTTTGTGTTTGTAATTTGTTTTATTCTTGTGTAAAACATGCAGCGTATGTATAACTTGCAGGAGGCATATGCCTTTTTGGCGTCAGACTCTGACGCCACTGACACTGCGTCCGATTTTGACTCAGGTCAGTTTTCTGACACGTCTAGTCAAGACGACATGTCATCTGTGTATGAGCCGGCTGAAGAAAGAAGCTGTGCTTCCTCTGCTACGCCGAATGTGGAGGAGGACTGTACCTCCACAGTTAGCCGAGCCCAACATCCCCCCTTTTAGTGCCAACGCAGGCATTAATGTTAATGTGGATAGCTTCTCCCCAATGCAATATGTAGAACTATTTTTAGGGGATACCATCTGGGAGGAGATTGCTTCCCAGACTAACTTGTATGATACCCAATTTATTGATAACAATCCAGGTAGCTATACAGTCAGGGAGCATGAATGGCATCCCACAGATGTCCCAGAGCTTAAAAAATTCTGGGCTCTTACAATGCTCATGGGGATTATAAAGAAGCCATCGATTCGCTCATACTGGAGCACCAACCCAATAATGTCTAGTCCAGTATTCTCCCAAACCATGCCTAGAGCCAGATATGAGTTACTGTCACCCTAGAGATCATCCCCAATACGATAGGCGTCATAAAATACGCCAACTGCTAGACAATTTTCAGGACAAATTTTCGGATGTTTATACCCCCAACAAAATTTATCCATAGATGAATCGCTAATAAAATACAAAGGGAGATTAGGGTTCAGACAATACATCCCCTCAAAGCACTCTAGGTATGGCATAAAACTGAGAGCGAAAGTGGATACATGTTTGCCTTTCGTGTATATGAGGGGAAAGATGGACCCTCCTGGCTGTCCTGACTCCCTGGGGACAAGTGGGAAACTTGTATGGGACCTACTAAACCCCTTGTTTAATAAAGGTTACCACCTTTATGTGGATAATTTTTATAATAGTGTCCGTCTGTTTAAAACACTTTATGGTTTACAGACACTGGCCTGCGGCACTGCCAGAAAAAATTCCAAAGACTTTCCACGATCTCTCATAGAGGCAAAATTTTAAAAAGGCGAATGTAAAGCACTTCGCAAAGCTCAAGTGCTTGCACTAAAATTTCGGGACAGGAAGGATGTCAACATGCTAACCACCATCCATGACGAACGCATGTCAGACGTCTCTGTCCGGGGCAGAATGGAGTCCAAACCGGTTTGCATCATAATAAGTACATGGGGGGTGTTGATTTGGCTGATCAGCTGATGCAGCCATATCTTATTTTACGAAAAACCAAAGCCTGGTATAAAAAGGTGGCTATCTATCTGATGCAAATAGCAACCCACAACTCATTTTTGCTTTTTTTTTTTTTTAAATTATCCAGGGAAAACCACCTTTCTCCAATTTCAGTTGAAAATAATTTCTTTAACAATTTATGGAGATGGACAAATTCCAACAACAGAGCAAGCTGAGTCCAGGCATTTTATTTTTAAGTTACCGCCAACTGCTAGAAAAAAAAACCCCACAGAAACGTTGCCGGGTCTGTTTTAAAAATGGGAAAAGGACAGAAACCCCTTTTCACTGCCCTGTTGCCCGTCGAAAACCAGGACTGTTTGTTAGAACATGTTTCAAGCTGTACCACACAGAACAGTTGTAAGAAGTGTTCCTGAATTTTTATTTTATTTTTTGTTTCTTTGGAAAGCAGCCATTTTTTGTTAGTCAGTTTCCTTCCCCCAAATCTCCAGTTAGATTCTATTTGCAGGAGTCAGTTTAAAGATTGCTGCTAAATGTACATTTGCTACCTGCACATTTGGTCTAACACATAACCAGCTGGCCAAAACCAGATGACGTGTGCATAAAAACCAGAATTTAAAAGTTACCACTACACTTTCTCTGTTTTTTGAGGGGGCAAAATGGTTGGGGGGAAAGAAGTCAAAACACCCTATCTTCTATAACATTTGATGTCTACTTTATAAAAAATATATACTATATATACTGTCATGATGGTAACATTAACTGGGGGTTGCAAAAATATGTCAAACTGAAGATAGACCAAGCATACCTATATATCAAGATGAAAAACTGACATTTACAAGTTTTGATTGTTGCCTTTTGGCCCCAGCAACCCTATAAATGGGGGGTATCACTGTACTCGGGAGATGTTGCTGAACATATTGGGCAGTGTTTGGCAGTGACACATAATAGGATCTGTTAATTCATGCCTAAAGTACAATATGTGTGACAAAGAAACAAAAAAAAGATTACTACCCAAAAGTTTGACAAAGGCTGGTGGTAGAATTCAGTGCATGAAAAGTGTTAAAATACCACCATTTAAAATACCCTGGGTTGTCTACTTTTCAAAAATATATGGTTTGATGGGGGTAAAATACATTGGCTCAAATGGGACATGGGCGCAGGTTGATTACATGTCAGAATTCCAAGTTGGGAAACTGATAAGCGCACCTGCCAAACATGGCCTTTTAACCCCCAAAGAACCCGACAGGCCTATGCATGGGTGATATCACTGTACTCAGGAGATCTTGCTGAACACATATTGGGCAGTGTTTGGCAGTGATACATAACAGGATCTGTTAATTCATGCCTAAAGTACAATGTGTGGAAAAAAACAGAAAAAAATTTACTACCTCAATGTTTGACAAAGCCTGGTGGTGGAATTAGTGCATGGAAAGTGTTAAAATACCACCATGTGAAATACCCTAGGGTGTCTACTTTCCAAAGATATATGGTTTGGTGGGGGTAAAATACATTGGCCGGCTTCAAAAATGTCCCAAATAGGACATGTGTGCAGGTTGACTACATGTCAAAATTCCAAGTTGAAAAATGGATATGCGCACCTGCCAAATGTAGCCTTTTAGCCCCCAAACAACCCTATGCATGGGTGGTATCACTGTACTCAGGAGATGTTGCTAAACAAATATTGTAATGTTGTTTGGCAATGTCACATAACAGGATCTGTTAATTCATGCCTAAAATACAATGTGCGTGAAAAAAGCAGGAAAAAATGTACTACCTCAATGTTTGACAAAGCCTGGTGGTAGAATTAGTGCATGGAAAGTGTTAAAATACCACCATGTGAAATACCCTAGGGTATCTACTTTTTAAAAATATATTGTTTGATGGGGGTAAAATACATTGGCCGGCTTCAAAAATCTCCCAAATAGGACATGCATGCAGGTTGACTACATGTCAAAATGCCAAGCTGGGAAACTGATATGCGCACGTGCCAAATGTGGCCTTTTAGCCCCCCAACAACCCGACACACCTATACATGGGTAGTATCACTGTACTCGGGAGATGTTGCTGAACACATATTGGGATGTTGTTTGGCAGTGACACCTAACAGAATCTGTGAATTTATACCTGAATTGCAATGTATGTGAAAAAAATAAAAAAAATAAACTACCTATGCAAAGTTTGGCAAAGGTTTGTGGTAAAATGGCTGCATAGAAAGTATCAAAATATTCTTAGATGAATACCCTGGGTTATCTAGTTTAAGAAAAATATATACATGTGGGCTGTTTTTTTTTGGAGATTTATGACATAACAGTGTTACAATGTCACTATTGATACATTTGAAAAATGTACATTTTGAAACAGCAATTTCCTACTTGTACTTATAGCCCTATAACTTGCAAATAAAAGCAAAAAAACACGTAAACATTGGGTGTTTTTAAACTCAGGACCAAATTTTTAATCTATTTAGCAGTTTGATTCATTCGATTTTGTAGATCAGTAAAAGATTTTTTAAGTAGAAGTTAAAAAAACGTGTTTTTTTTTTTTTCACCATATTTTATTATTTTTTAAAAATTAATGACATGATAAAAATAATAATAGGTAAAGAAAGCCCCTTTTGTCTTGAAAAAAACAATATATAATTTGTATTGGAACAGTAAATGAGAGAGCGGAAAATTACAGTTAAACACAAACACCACAAAAGTGTTAAAATAGCTCTGGTCCTTAACGTACAACATTGCAAAAACAGTCCGGTCCTGAATGGGGTTAAAGATGGGGGTTGTCTGAGCAAAGCATCAACGCCTTTGCAGACAAAAATCCTTGCACCAGGAGGGGCGTCCTTGAGCTCTTATTACTCGGGGGAATTGTGGTTTGCACGTTTTATGAATGAATTAATTTTAGCCAGAGCACAGGTGTAAAGGTGTGTGTGTGTGATCACGTCATAATATATAATTTTGTCAAAAATAGCTTGTTTAATGTATGCTCCCTAAGTGAGTATGGGATTCTTATGAAAGCATCCCCTCCTCCCCAGATGTTTCCTTCTGCGTTGAGTAGGAGTTCAGTAGTGATACAGTTAATCAGAGTTGGCTTTTCATAGTTGTGCTGAAAGTGATCCCTGGGGCGGAGTGGGGAAGTAAAGGCCTCACACATCTGGATCTGATTCTTTTCCAGAATGGTGCCCATTCTGTGCATTTTTAAACCACAGCTACCAATGGGTGTGTCGCTCACTCCTGCAAAGTATGCAATTATTACATATTTACATATCTGTTCTGCAGGAGTATGATTTTCACATTTAGTATACTTTTATACATTGTATATAACAACTAGCTACTTTAACAGTAAATTATGTCACAAGGGAGAAAAAAATGATACGTTTTACACAATTGTCATTTGGCATATATTGCAGCAATTTGATAGAATTGTGCTACAATATTGTTAATAACTAGAGACTTTTCCATGCTATTCAGATCTTTTTAGATGTTTTTAAACCAGCTTTAACTTCTACACAAATTAAATCAAAAATTGAGGCAAATTGCTGATCTGGAAAAATTATTCTACTCAGCTACAATAAGCCACAACCTGTTATTATTTGCTTCACCTTTTCCATATATACTTAACTCACGAAAATTTGGAGTTTAGTCAATAAGCCTGTTTGTGTAGAATTCATATGCAGTTGCAGTTCCTATGGGCACCTCCTTCTGGCATGTGAATTGAAGAAAATATCTTGCAGATTATATTGAGAAATATTTTCATCACTATTTCTTTCCTTGAATAGGATTATTCAATAGTGTGTGAATTGTTGATCATTCAAAGTGAATTTCAAAGTGAAAATAGCCTGTAAACATACTCCAAGCCTGTAATGTGGGCATAAAATTAGAATCACATATAAATGCTTTAAAATTAAATTATCAGAACATAAAATAGGAGTTTGTAAAGTAAATAATTTGTGCTATAAGATTTTATTAAATTATTAGGCAAAACTCAAACATGAGGCCCCCACTAAAAATAAATAGTGGTTGTGTGTGTATAAGGAGCTGTAGATATATTGAAGGGCAGATTTGCCGTGCTGGATACAGAGAGCTAGTCTCTGTATTCATTGTTCAAAGGCTTGTATTGTTGCTGCTCCCTATGGCACTGTGTTGTGAGCTCTCAGACTGTAGTTATGGCATAATTTGCAAACAAAATGAATTTGCAATAATGCTAAACATTTATACACGACTTCGGGGTATAGTTGCACACATGGGCATCCGCAGGTGGGTGAAAGGGGGGGTACTTGCCCCCCTCCCCTGGATTTTTCAGCTTGTTTTGCTATTTTTCGTGTGAGATTGAAAGTACAGTGCAATACCAACGCCGGTGTATGTGTATGTAGAGAAACAGGGATAGGAAGCTACATCTTATCCCTGCTTCTCTCCTGACTGAATCCGCAGAGGAGCAGAACATGCAGCGAGAGACAGCCTACAGATCAGGTAAGTGAGGGATGGGGGGGCAGCCTATAGATTAGGGAAGTGAGGCATGGGGGCAGCCTACAGATCAGGTAAGTGAGGGAGGGGGAGAGAGAGCCTATAGATCAGGGAAATGAGGGAGGTGGGAGAGAGAGCCTATAGATCAGGGAAGTGAGGGAGCCTAAAGATCAGGGAAGTGAGGGAGGGGGAGAGAGAGCCTAAAGATCAGGGAAGTGAGGGAGGGGAAGAGAGAGCCTATAGATCAGGGATGTGAGGGAAGGGGAGAGAGAGCCTATCGATCAGGGAAGTGAGGCATGGGGAGAGAGAGCCTATAGATCAGGGAAGTGAGGCATGGGAAGAGAGAGCCTATAGATCAGGGAAGTGAGGCATGGGGAGAGAGAGCCTATAGATCAGGGAAGTGAGGGAGGGGGAGAGAGAGCCTATAGACCAGGGAAGTGAGGGAGGGGGATGGGATGGAGAGACTGCAGATCAGGGAAGTGAGGGGGGAGACTGCCTATAGATCAGGTAAGTGAGGGATGAGGGAGACAGCCTACAGGAAGGGTCAGCAAGGAGCAGAAAGGAGCAGCAAGGAGCTGGAAGGAACAGCAATGAGCACAAAAGGTAAAGTAGCAGAAGGATCACAAAGGAACAGAAATGAGCAGGAAGGGGCTGCAAGGAGCAGGAAGGGTCAGCAAGGACAAGCAAGGATCAGCAGGGAGCAGGAAGGGTCAGCAAGAAGCAGCAAGGAGCTGGAGGTTAAAGCAGCACAAAGGTAAAGTGTAAGGAGCAGAAAGGGTCAGCAAGGAGCTGGAAAGGGCAGCAAGGAGCAGGAAGGGACAGAAGGAGCACAAAGGTAAAGAAGGTGAAGGAACAAAAAATGAGCAGGAATGGACATCAAGCAGAAAGGATCAGCAATGAGCTGGAAGGGGCAGAAGGAGCACAAACGTAAAGTAGAAGGGTCAGGAAGGGCAAAGAGCAGTCTGCAAGGGCAGCAAGGAGAAGGAAGGGTCTGCAAAGAGCAGAGGGACAGAAGGAGCAGAAATAATCAGAAGGAGCACAAAGGTAAAGTAGGAGAAGGAGCAGAAAGGGATCAGAAAGAGAAAGGAGGAGAAGGGCGCAAAATAAGCAGAAAGTAGCAGAAAGGTAAAGCAGCAGAAGGAGAGAAGACAGTGTCAGAAGAAAAAGAAGACTGTGTCAAATGAAGGAGAAGAAAAGGAGATTGCAGCAGGAAGGACAAGTGAACCCTCCACTTTATTCTGGACACCACATCATAATGCTTTGGTACCTGGGCCTGGCAGGGAAACTTTGGACCTTCTCATATCGCCAGGTAAAAAAAAAATATCAGTGTTACTGTGTTCAATTTTATTTACTGATTGTCAGGAAACACAGAGTGGCGCTGGGTAGGGGTGTCGCTGATTGGCTAGAGCTGTCATCTAGCACTCTAAGCCAATCAGTAGCTCCCCATTCATAAAAAAGTAAAACATTTTTAGGAACCAGGAATTAGCGATTGGCTGAGAGAGTCAGCTGACCACTCTAGTCAATCTGCAGCACCCATGCCTGATGTCAATCTGCACTTCCTGACACTCTGTTTCAGAAGCCGAATAACACTGAGCGACCTGGAGATCTGTAGCTGGAGGAAGCCTTTGGGGTTAAACCCCTTAAAAGAAAAGAGAGCACCCATGGGCATCCTGGCATTTTCATTTAAATGAAGTTGTTATGGTACCAGAATTTTCCTTTAATTTGCTTAAAGGAACACTATAGTGTCAGGAATACAAACATGTATTCCTGACACCATAGTTGTGAAAACACTATTCACCCTGATTTGATGTGATAATGACTATGGTCCTCCCCTTCATGACACTGTCAAAAAGGGACCAAGCATGGATGTCATTACAATTATGCCCCCCCTGAAAGATTCCTGCGGACGCCCATGGTTGCACAGCCTGGCAGTCGTGTATACATAAGTGCTGTTGTCAATGGGTTATTGCAAACAGAAACGAAAATTTTGATTGGGCAAAAGAATAAAGTTACAGATAAGAAAACAGTGTCATATATTATCCTAGATGTTCTTTATATGTGTTTCCCTATGCTTTGTATATGTATGTACACTGAACAAAATTATAAACGCAATACTTTTGTTTTTACCCCCATTTTTCATGAGCTGAACTCAAAGATCGAAGACTTTCTATGTACACAAAAGGCCTATTTCTCTCAAATATTGTTCACAAATCTGTCTAAATCTGTGTTAGTGAGCCAAGATAATCCATCCACCTCACAGGTGTGGCATATCAATATGCTGATTAGACAGCATGATTATTGCAAAGATGTGCCTTAGGCTGGCCACTTTAAAATGTGCAGTTTTATCACACAGCGCAATGGCACAGATTATGCAAGTTTTGAGGGAGCGTGAGATTGGCATGCTGATTGCAGGAATGTCCACCAGAGCTATTCCCTTGAATTGAATGTTCATTTCTCTACAATAAGCAGTCTCCAAAGGCGTTTCAGAGAATTTGGCAGTACATCCAACTGGCCTCACAACTGCAGACCACGTGTAACCACACCAGCCCAAGACCTCCACATCCAGCATCTTCACCTCCCGGACAGCTGCTTCTACAATCGTTTTGCATGACGCTAGAGAGGTGACATTCACAAGCCCTGACTGACAGACCAGATGATGTTAAAGGGACACTGTAGGCACCCAGACCACTTCAGCTAATTGAAGTGGTCTGGGTGCTGTGTCCCTATTGCACTTAGTGCTGCAATGTAAAACATTTACTTTGCAGCTCTAAGTCTGCTCTCTGTGGCTGTCTACCAGCCAGCCACTAGAGGGCTTCCGGAATCCAAAAGGACCTTTGGTCCGTTATCTGACGCTGGACGCATGAGCGTTAGGTCTCCCCCGCCAGCTGACATTGCCGGGGGAGGAGCGTGGGTGGAGCCTGACCCAGCGCTGGATTCAGGTAAGTGGCTGAAGAGGTTTTAACCCCTTAAGCACCATGGGAGGGGGGGCGTGAGGGAGAGGGACCTATTAAACCTATAGTGCCAGGAACACAGCTTTGTTTTCCTGGCACTATAGGATCCCTTTAAACAGGACACAGCAGGAAGTGGTGGCAGTAAAAGATAGAAATACTACTCACCCCCCCCTTTTTTCTTTTCTATTCCTTCACTCTTCCTACTCCTATTTTACTTTTCTACTCCACCTCGTGTCCTACCTAGCTTTTCCAATCATTACACCTATCCCATTGATACAACAGCACTGAGACACCTTAAGCAAACACACATGGAGAAGGCCATGATCTTAAAGTAGGAATCAGCATCCACAGTGCACAAAGTTGAACCCAAAAACCACTTAACTCATGAGCAATAGCATAAGTATGGGAAGTTGATATGTTATGCTACTGGTTCACTTAATACCTGTATGTAAACTCTTCAATTTCACTTTCTCATAAATGTACAACATTGTCTTGTCAAACAAAAATGAAAATCCAAAATAAAGATTGTAAAAAAAAAAAAAAAAATCATTGGAAAGTATGATACTGGGATGGAAAGGGGTGTGGCTGACCAGTACTCATGTAATTGGTGGAAGGTATGCTCAAAAAGGAGGATATATCACACTTCCAAAATGCACTGTCCTTTAGTAGAAATGCGCTCATGTAATTAATAATGCAGTGAAGCTTTATTAGGCTTGAGACTGTTGGGGAGTTGTATTGCTATTTGATTAGCACAATGTATAAATTATAGGCTTACTCTAAGCATCATAACCTCATCAGCGATATGAAGTGCTCAGGGTGCTAATTTCAGTTTACATATATAGAGATATCTGAAGGTGCTTTGGAGATGTAATTCCACCTGTGGCAGTGTCATTACCAGGTGCATATTGGGCATGCAGGGCAGAGAAGGATTAAGATCCCACAGTGCCCTAGGCAAAAGGGAGCACAACTTTTTCTGAGATAAAAATCATGATTTGCAAATTATTATGATGCATCCATTTATTGTAATCCATTTAAGTTTATATGCTGAACTGGTTGACAAAAAAATAAATCTTAAAATATTATGGTTTAGAGGTCAAATGCATCTCCTACGACACTGTTCATGTCTGTACAATCAGATGATACAGCTGTTTGATTTTTAGTTCCACTGTGAAACCCAGTGATGAGATGAGCAAACTTTGTATCCCATAAATATTTTGTTTCTGTGCCATGTGACTGACAAATAACAATCCAAGTCACGTCACTTTATGGTAACTTTGTAATATTCAGATGGAGCAAAACATATTCTGTAGTTCTAGATTATGTTGTCTCAGGCACAGTCTCTTGGCTGCTTTCAGTTGTCTCCTCTAATTCTGTCTCGGTGGCATTGTCCAGCTTTATGTACCCATTTTCGGCTCTCTCCATCCTTGGCCAACTCCTACACTTTGTTCCTCTGTGTGGAACCTCCAGAGATCCGTTCTGTACCATATTTAGCTTCATTTCAGAGCTATAACCTCTCTCTACTGCTTCTTCCTTGAGAATCCATGTGTCTGCCCCCTGGGGTAAAGAGGAAATGCATGGATCCGAGTGGATGCTCACCAGGGAACCAGATAGATCATTAATTGGAGGACAGAGTAACTGTGCTCTTATTAATATGTTCCGCCTGTTATCTAATTCCCCTGAACTTTCACCCCAGGTATTCTGTGATGGAATTTCTACCCCGTGATTTGGCCCCTGAGTAGCAACCAGGTTTTGAAGAAGTTGCCTTGTCTCTGTGTCCCGGTTTTCATAGAGAAGTGTATTAGCACATATAAACAAAAACAATCCTACCCCCATAATGACTGGGCCAATGAGCTTCAGCCTCTCTGCATATGGTTTTGGAGGTGGTTGTGGTGGGGCTGAGGGAGATGGACCATCAGGTTTGTGGGACCAGTAGCCAAACACAGCCACTGTTAGCCCTACTAGGACAAGAAATATCCCCAGGAATACAAAGGCACCTGGCTTGGAGCGAAAGCGTAGTTTCCCTTTAGGAAGAGCATCAGGACCTGTAGAAGGAGGGCGACATCTTCGAAACAGCCACAGAAGACATGGAAACTGGTGCACATCCAGATGATGTCTGGAAATGCGCTTCATGATTTGAAGGAGACCTTAAGGAAAAGAAATCAACATGAATAAGAAAGTCTTAACACTTTGCCCATTCTCATTACAACTCTTTTTTAGTTATATATACCTCACCTATTTTGGGACCAAATTCCTCTGTTCCTCTTTTCTGTGCTAATATCACTCTTTTCTAAGAGCTCCATATTGTTGGTGTGCCTGAGTGTATATAAAGCTCAACAGCAATAATACTCCAACAACGGTTGCTCCTGCACCCATGACCACTGCTTTTTGAAGTGGTCATGGTGGTAGGAGTCTGGATGTGCAGTGTTTTGACTTAATGCCCAAATATATATATTTACAAAAGTTGGATTACAATAAGTGTTTTTAGAAATCAGTATTTTTAAATAAGAGTCTGTTCATAATTAATTGGAGCTGATCAGTATTTATAAATGCTGTACTATAATAATCAGAAATTGCATTAGTAAATTATATTGTTTTTCACTCAATACCATTTGTTTTTAGCCAGATCAGAGTCCATGTGCATGCACTCTGAGCCGGCAAGAGGACTGGGAGATGGATTGGGGAGGAGGCTGTAAAATAGGGATGTGAATGGGCAAAAAATTTGGTTCAGTTCGGACTTCCGAAATTCGTGACTTCGGCAATTCTGTTCAGTCCGAAACTTCGGCACTTCGGTTTGGTTTTGCACTTCCGAAATTCGGGACTTCGGCAGTTCCCTAACCCTACTCCTAACCCTAACCATAATCCTAACTCCACCCCTAGCTCCTAACATTAACCCGAACTCCATAAACTTAGCCCTACTCTTAGGTTAGGGATAGGGGTGGGATTAGGGCTAGGGTTAGAAGTAGGCTTAAGGGTTAGATTCCTGTCATCATTCCCTTAATTTTCTCTCCCTCTCCTGTTTTGCCACTTTTCAGAAATCCAAAGCACTTCAGAAATTCGCTACTTCAGAAATTCGGTTCGGCGCTTCCGAAATTCGGCACTCCGAAAATTCAGACATTCGGAAGCATCCGAATGTCCGAATTGCCAAACTTCGGCTGAATTGCACATATCTACTATAAAACATTTAAACAATGGGATCAGGAGGTGGGAGGGCTGAAGGGAAGGAACACCCAAGACTTGTGCTAACAACAGAGTAAAATCTGCACATAAATTAGATTAGATAGCCCAGAATAGAGTTCTGGGCTGCCAATGTTATTTGCCAGTGGTGCAACTAGCCCCAGGCACACAAGTGTGAATTAGTCTGGATGTGCAGTGTTTCAATCTAGCTTGTGTTAAGTATATTTTATTTTACTGCTCAACAGTTCTATACAATGGGATTTTGTTGTTGTCTTGATTGAGCCTGAGAATCAGACTGGAGATAATGCGTTTATGTTACAAAGGACAGGATGTCAAATATACATATGTAGACTACAGTGTGGTGTATTATCAGTATATACATTGTGTGCATCAGAATCCTTAAAGAAAATGCTTAGCTTTGTTCTGCAGAAATTGTACCGCTATTGAGAACACTTAATTATATTGTATTTCACTGTGCAATAAACTGTGTTCAATATTAATTTGTACATAATAAGCAGTCGTTAATCTCAATGCCACTATATACAGTAGTTTATACTATTAAAGTACTGTAACCTGCTTTGTTATAAATTCCAAGATTTTAACTTGCTGTATCCTAAAGCTTAGTTGGTCGTTAATGTATAAACTATTCCATATCATTATTTAGTGTGGCGAATAGATACCCAGCACCATTATACAAAGTGGCCTCTTCTTCGTTATCTGGGTGCTGCACAAGCGCCGGTTACTATAAACCTACTCGAAGTTACTATGAAAGATAAGACACTTAATAAAACCATGTCTCCCGTTAACCAGTTCATCCTTGGGCACAAAATTTTCCCACAGATATATTTTCCCACAGGTCAGTGTTGTCCAGAAATATACCAGGACAGGGCCTTATATGGCATTTTATAAAGAATTCACAGGACTAGGCCTTAGTGTGGGGAGGAGGGAGAGTGGACAATCACAGATAAATCCTAAATATATCAAATTAATCAGAAAACCATATTATCTGCAGAAAAGGAATACATAGATATTAAATTAATGTGCTTAATGTAGTGCTTCATTGACTCAATGCTGTGCACACAAACCAAACGTGTGCCAGTGAATTCAATGAGTTCGTATAGGACGGGGTGCCCAAAAGGTAGATTCTCAAATATTTTAAAACTACAACTTCCATGATGCTTTGTCATTCTAAAGGCATGCAAAGCATCATGGGAGTTGTAGTTCTACAATATCTGGGGATCTACCTTTTGGGCACCCCTGGTATAGAACATACCCTGGAGTTGTGATCATGTTGAACCACTACTTGTTTGATCTGGGTATTAATAGAGGGTTTACTCACTAAAAATGTCATTGTTTCCCCCAGCTGGGGTATTTTGACCCATAATATTTTGATGGTAATGACACCATACCATCTTACTGCCATCTGCAGTCACATCATTCTCCTATAAATATCACTACTCCAGTTTTTCCCCTATGTATGAAGCCTGTTCAAATTTTATGGACTTCTCTGATTAATAGACCATTTACTAGTAGATTGAAGTACAGGGCAATGTGCTGTTGTTTTTGGATTTGTATAGCAGTGATCATGCATTACCTAGCCTGGTGTTTTAACCCCTAATAGATGCAGTCAATTAAACATCTATAATCCATGGATCTTAAATTTTATGACTATAACATTCATGCTTGTATATGAATCTGTATAATAAACGGAGCACATACCTCTGCCTACATAAGCAGTATAAAGTGGTTTATAGTAACGTGTCCTGCTTCTCTCCTCTCTGTAGGATGCTGACTACCTTTTAGCTAGGTTTCCCCTCTGTGCAAGGCATTGGATCCTCATTACTTCTTCTGCTTTGTCTGCAAAACTGTTGCACATAAACTATTGACCAATCTCTTCTCATACCACCCCTCCCAGCACTTGTAAATTTGGGGTCATATGCATAGTTTCTGAAGCTGGGAGGAGGCTGGAAATGTGGAAGGTGGGAGGAGGGCTGTGTTAAAGAGACAGCACAGAACTGTATGATATCTGCTTGGAAGGCTTAGATGTGTCAGGATTACAAGTTGATCCAGCACGCAGTAATGTGTCACACCTAGGACTAAGGATAACATATAACCGGACCTTAAAATGGCCGGACTGAACGTATCCAAGAATAGTCAAAATACTTGTCGAGGTCAGGGACACGGAATCAGACACAAAGATGAGGGAAAGCCAAACATCAAGGATACCAGATATCAGTGAAGTCAAAACAAAGCCAAATACCAGAAAATCAAGATCAGGAACGCACTCTCGGATAACCATATACATGAAACCACGACAGGGCAATGAGCAAGAGGAGAATTCTGCTTAATCCTTTGACCCCAAAAGTAATTACCAGGTTTCTGCTTGGCACAACTTTTCCTGTCAGGACAGTAATGATGCTCGGCACAACTTTTCCTGTCAGGACAGTAATGTTGCTCGGCACAACTTTTCCTGTCAGGACAGTAAATGCCATTAACCACATTTTTATGTGCGGATGAATATGTGACATTACTCCCCACCTGAAGACCGCCCACCGGGTGGGCAGGACCAGGTTTGAGAGGAAACTTGGCGTGAAAAGAACAAATTTTACGTCCAGCATGGATATCAGAAGCCGAAACCCAAGAACGGTCAGCAGGCCCATACCCCCTCCAATCAACCAAATACCGTAAGGAACCATGAGAAAACCTGGAATCAATGATGGAGGAGAGTATGTACGCCTCCTGTCCAGAAACAACCAAAGGAGGAGGGGGAACAATCGGGAACAAATGTACCGATTGCAAACAAGCGGTTTGAGCAAGGACACATGAAAAGTATTAGGTATACGTAAGGACGCTGGAAGGGCCAGAGAATAAGAAACAGGGTTGATTCTCCTAACCACACGAAAAGGACCAAGGAACCTCGGAGCAGACTTCATGCTGGGAACCTTCAACCTGATATTATGTGAGGATAACCAAACCCGATCACCCACATGGTAAACTGGATTGGCACTCCGCCGTTTATCCGCATGAAACTTACAGCGAGCAGTCACAGTCAGAAAACACAGCAGGTAGAACAGCAGGATGATGACCCATCTTGAAAAAAAAAAAACGGACTATGCCCAGAGTTATTCCTTGCAAATTCAGCCCAGTGCAATAATTCAGCCCAGTTAGACTGTGTACTATTCACGAAGCAACGTAAATACAGCTCGATTGATTGGTTAGCTCTCTCAGCCGTACCATTAGTTTGGCGATGGTAAGCAGAGGAAAATGATAATTAAATATCCAACTGTTTATTTTATTCCCTCCATAACCGTGACACAAATTGGGAACCTCTGTCAGGCACAGTATTTTGATTAATACCATGTAGCCTGACAATATCGCATATAAATATGTGCACCAGGTCCTGAGACGATGGCAATTTTTTAAGTGGAGTAAAGTATGCCATTTTGGAAAAACGGTCAACTACCATGAGGATGGTAGTATACCCATTGGAACTAGGCAGTTCAACAATGAAATCCATCGATAAATGAGACCATGGGATACTGGGTATAGGAAGTGGCTGTAACAATCCACACGGAAGATTATGAGGAACCTTTTAAACTACACAGATAGAGCAGGCTTCTACCTAATCTTTAATATCCCTCCTGAGTGACTCCCACCAAAATGACCTGGAAATGGCGGACACCGTTATATTAATACCCGAATGCCCAGCGGTCACATTGTCATGGAATACCTTCAGCACCTCTCTCCTGTCAGGCAATGGAATAAACAATTTATCTTGTGGTGCCTGGGGCTGAGCCGCCATGATAGCACGGAGCAAAGGGGACGATAAAGAAAGGACAGTGGATGCAATAATACACTCAGGAGAAATAATAGGGGATGTTTCTTGTTCTAGATCCGATTGAATGTCAAATTGCCTTCGGGGATGGCTCTATATTCTGTGAGTTTTATGCTATTTTAGGGGCATGGTGTCTATGTTTTATACCGTTTGCACTTTGTACTTTATCTTTGTTTTTTTTAGCATGTTCCGGATATAGACCTTCTATATTGCCTACATTGTTCTACATTTGGTGTATTATTTCTATTTTTATTCTTTCATTTTGTAGTGTTGGGGGATACACTAAACTACAGCAGTGTGTTATTATCTTATATTTATTTGGTAGCGCCTACACACCATTTGTACTCTTCTATATCGATATACAGGCCTGGCCGAGACTGGTGGCAGTTACACTCCTTGATAGCTCTATATTGTAGAGTGAATTTTTTGTTTAGAATGACGTTCAGCTTAAAAAAAAAAAAAATACACTATATGGTATTCCTTAATTTGCAATATTTCACACAGAGCCTATAATATTGGTATAGAAGCAAGGTGACCATTTTTGTCACATACAATAATTGTGACGAAAATACATGAATAAAAATGGTCAAATACTTGCTTTTGGGTATTTGTAAGGACCCTCATGTTATTATTAGCAATACAGTTTACAGTTAAAGAAAAACTGTAGGCACTATAATAACTTCATTTTCTAGAAGTTGTTATTGTGTCTCCAGTAATATCCCCAATACCTTTATATTGTTTAGTTTGAAGGCTTGAAAGCACTGCTTTCTCTGTGTATAAGAACTGCGACTGTTACTTCCTGGCTATCATATCCTAACATACCGTGATGTCACATGTGCATGCGCAGTGCCAACATGGTCTGCCATAGTAAATAATTGTATTCAATGATTCCACGCATACTCCTACATGAGGAGCACTGGATTGTACCCTCATCATGGAGGCACAACTCAAGGATGACATCACTGTAGGAGGAGGCCACTCTAGTGCCAATGGAGACTTGACTCTGGAAAAAAGGGGAGAATTTTTTAATTAATTTATTTTTGTTGAATTTAATTTTGATAGTAAACATCGTTTAAGCATTAGGGATACATATAGGCCCCAGAAATATCCTTTAAAATGGCGATAGAATGTAAAATTATGTCTTGCAATGCAAAATAAAAGTATGATGTCTGTGCACAAGTTTGGTAATTAAGGGGTTATAGTATAACAGAACATCTTGGAGAAAGTGTAACATCTGGCATGCATATGACATTTTCAGGCATTACAAACAATTGGGATTGTTTGGTAAAGCAGTAATTGTAGAGAACTGACAATGAATTGCAAATTTTAGGCAAAAATAGCCAAATTGGGAAAGTTCTACAATCGGCTTTTATTTTATAAAGTCCACTTTAGACTCCAGTTACCTTATGCTTACTGTGTGAAGCTATTCAAGTTTATTCAAGCAGTCTTTAACTGCTCACTCCTTGTGAGTGTTCCTTTCCCCCCTTCCTTTAATTATTTCCATTACTTTTACAATATTACCCTATGGTTGTTTTTTATTTTATTTTACATGAAATACTTCATTGAAGTTTTCTGCAATATATTTGCCCATTGTATATTATTATAGAATTATAGAATTAGAATTATAGAATGATATGTGATTCGCATTTATTATGAAAAAGCATACCTGGTTCAAGCTAATTTTATAACATGACAGGGAGCTTCATATTTGCTTAAGTCTCTCTAGGGCTTTATTTATTTGTTATATGATAGTTATTTATTTTATATTTGTTTGAGTTATAATTTTGTGTAGATGCTCTGCATTTGGCTGTATGCTTTCGCTTTGCACTGTTGGATTTCATTGGGTTGCCTTATTCCCCTTATTTTCATCCTATTTCCCCTTCTGTGGTCATTTAGCCGCCTCCCCGATCTCCCGACCACCGGGGCCACGGAGTACGCTGGCCTCGTGCCACTGTGCGGGACCCCCTTGTTGTTCCGGCCCTCTCTTTCACTTTTAGCACCTATCCTCCATCACCGGACTGTGAAAAATTCCAGAATTGTTGGCCTCCGGTTGACTGGGGCAGAGAGGGGAGTGCGTGCCTACCACGTGGGAGCATAAACTCCCGGCCTCCTCCTGATCCTCTATGGCCCAGGACATTCACTGAATGGAGTTTTTTTCTGTTATATTGGGTTCGGGGGGGGGGGGTTTTAGGTACCTGCCGCCAAGGCCAGACTGGCCCACCGGGATACCGGGAAATTTCCCGGTGGGCCTTCGGCACCTGGGGCTGGACAGACAGCTGGCTCTTCTGGCGGCCGCAGGTAATTTACCTTAAATAATTGTATCTCAATCTCTAAATTGAACCTGGCTCTTCTGGCGGCTGCAGGGGGGAGCTGGCTGTGTTGTCTCTGCTCCCCTCGCACGCTGCTTAATAAGAACGGGGCCGGAATGTGACGTCATGTTCCGGCCTGGTCTCATTAAGCTGCCTGACCCAGCTGTCTGCCCTGCACGACCGGTCACTCACAGGTAGCTATATTATGTGTCAGTGTGAGTGTGTGTGTCCGTCATTGTATGTGTGTGTCTGTCAAGGTGTGTGTGTCTGTCAAGGTGCGTGTGTGTGTGTCTGTCAAGGTATGTGTGTGTCTGTCATGATATGTGTGTGTGTCATGGTGTGTGTCTGTCATGGGGTGTGTGTGTGTCTTTCATCTGTCATGGTGTATGTGTGTGTCTGTGTGTGTTTAGAAATAATGTTTTTACTCACTTTTTTTTCCCCACGCTGTGCTGCGGGGCTGGCATAGATTTTTTTTTTCCAGGGCTGCTTTGTATCCCCAGTCCGGCCCTGCCTGCAACCTTGCTGGTTTCCCTTACTCAGGGCCGGCCTTAGGCCTTTAGGCGTCATGTGTGAAAAATCTTCAGAGCGCCCCCTCCCCCCTGTCATCCATGTATTATGTAATGTTTGTGTTGTCTGTGTATGTAATAGATGTGATGGCTGTGTGTGATATTTGTAATGGGTGTATTAACAGGGTGTGATATGCGTGTATTGGTTGTATGTGATATTTGTGCTGGGTTTATTGGCTGTGTGTAATGGGTATTTAATTCAGATAAAAACATGCATTTAGGCCTGTGTGTGAATGCAGGTGTATATTTTTGCAGAGTTATGTGCACACATTCCCACAGTCAGATGCACACAGTTATACATATACACTGTCAAATCCACCACATGCACATAGTCGCAGGCAGATAGTCACATACACAGGATCAGGCAGAAAGTAACACACAGGTAAAGGAAGTAACACACATACACAGTTACAGGTAGATAAACACATTCACACACAATAACAGGCAGACAGCCACACACACACAGCCACACATACAGTTTTACACCCAAACACCGGCACAGCCTTGCTGACAGCACGAGCTTACCTGCTCGTCGGCGAGCCAACAGCCGCTTCCCCGCATCCTCCGGCCGTCGCGCCCGGATCCAAAATGGGGCTGACCGCGTGGTCTCGCCTAAACATAGCTCCGCCCCTGAAGTTTATACTGACGTGCGCATCACAAAGTCAACGCACACGCACGTTTTGGAGTCAGAGGTCGCCCTCTGACCAATCAGACCTTAGAGAGGGATATTTAAATCCCTAACTCACCCCAGTACCTTGCCCTGTCGTGGTTTCCTTTTCCTGCTTTATCTTTGTGAATCTGATTTCCTGGTATCCTGATCTTGGCTTTTCCCTGGTTATTCTGAATTCTGGTTTCCCTGACTTGGCTTGTGTAAACGGTATCGTGTTTTTGGCTTCCTTGACCTCGGCTTTCCCGTTGACCATTCTCTGTCTCTAGCGTATTAGTCCGGCCATTCTAAGGTCCGGTTTACGCTCTGTCCTTTTGTTTTCCTTTTTTTGCCTATGTATATGTTTACATAGTTTCTGCGTGCTGGACCACACTAGTAGTCGTGACACACACACACACAGGCAGAATCCCACACATACACGCAGGCAGACAGCCACACACACAGAGGCAGACGGCCATCCACACACACAGGAAGATAGTCACACATACACACACACAGGGAGACAGCCACACAAACACACACAGGCAGACAGCCATACAAACACACACAGGCAGACAGTCACACACACAGGCAGACAGTCACACACGCACACACAGGCAGACAGTCACACACACAGGCAGACAGTCACACACGCACACACAGGCAGACAGTCACACGCGCACACACAGACACACACAGGCATACATTCACATGCACACACAGGCAGGCAGTCATACATACAGACACACACACAGGCAGACAGTCATACACACACACACAGAGGCAGACAGTCATTCACAGACAGGCAGACACACAGGCAGGCAGTCATACACACACACACACACACAGGCAGACAGTCATACACACAGACACACACACAGGCAGACAGTCATACACACACAGACACACACAGACAGACAGTCATACACACACACAGACACACAGAGGCAGACAGTCACACACACACACACACAGGCAGACAGTCACACACACACAGACAGAGGCAGACAGTCACAGACACACAGACAGTCACACTCACACTGACAATCACATAGTTAGCTCTGTTCCTTGTGTAGGCAGACAGGTAGTGCAGCTCCTGGATTCTGGTTGTTGGGGGAAGCAGGGACTCCTTCCTGCTTCCCCTGCAGCAGTTACACGGCACTTTTAGCTCTGCCCCGCCGCACTGGAAGCTCCGCCCCATCACATTTTTTTAATTAATTTTTTTAAATCCGGTCGGCTGTGGACCGCACGGCGTCCTCTGCTCCATGGCGCCCTGTGCGGCCGCACAGCTCGCACACCCCTAAGGCCGGCCCTGCCCTTACTACAATGTGACACCATGCAAACTCCCAAGGTGGAGGATACATACTGCATGGTGGACTGCAGTCCCATCACTGAGGCCAATCCTGGCCTACCAGCATGCTCTTGCTTACACTGCTGTATTTACTACTACACCAATTTACACATCAGTGCTATGCATTTAAAAGTACACTTATACCTTAGGTGTCTCCATTTTAGGGTTACCGTAGTTCATATACGAAAAGTAACACTTCTTTTACTTTATTCATCTCTTAAAGGAACACTATAGTCACCTAAATTACTTTAGCTAAATAAAGCAGTTTTAGTGTATAGATCATGTGACGAGAGCAATCTCATTGCATTGGAGAAGCCTGGTTGCTCGCCTGTTGCCTTTGGATTATGGCCCCATGTTAAAAGGCTTGATTTTCCCCTGCAAAGACAAAAAAGCCGGGTCATTTGGTGCTTGCCCTGTTTGAGCAGTGATACCCCAGATAGCTATGCCATGGAGCCCATTCGTATAATGAAAGACTATGGGAAAGACTTTGGCTCCATGGCAATTGAACTGTATGTGTGTGCTCTGAGCGCCATTCAGTAATAATGTGCACTTAGACCTAAGCTATCTGGGCATATGTTGCATGTCTGTATTTTATGTCATAAATGTAACCTTGTGTATTTCATTGTATTTTACTGTCTTTTTGCTGCCATGTGTTCAATGGAGTTTTGCCTCTGTCTTTGGAGATAATTGGATTACTTCTAATTATCTCCAGGATAGAAGACTCTGTGGAACTGGTTTTGGGCAGAAAAGCCATGCTTCCTGTGGTCACAAATTGGACCAATTTGTATGATTTTGACGTATGTTTGTATTTAGAGTATGCTGATTCTGAAAATGTATGTGAATGTGATGCATACTTTTCAAGTTGTGAATAATGTGGAAAAATTGTATTTCTCTGCTTGTGCTAAATTACCCATTGTGTAAGGTAATTGAATCACATGCAGAGGGGAGGAATTTGTGTGGGAGTGTCTGAGTGTATTGTATGTGTTTATTGGTTGTGTTCCAAAACCCTGTGGGTGGTACTAATGTGTAAGAATGTGTACATAAGCACAATAAACCCACAGCTCTGTCTGTTCACTGCCTGACCCTCAACACGGAGCTTTGTCTCGTTCTTGGGGGGATTTACTGTATGCTGTTCCAGTTTGCCTGCTAGGAGTGTAAACCTATTCGTATGGTTTTTCCTATTTGGCTGCTTACAGCATTCATATGGTTTCCTGTTCGGCGGATTGGTGTTCTGCAGTAGCTGTGCCTGCATCTCTGGAAGGGGAAGATCTACTAAACGGTTTTTACCCTTTGTGTGCAAAACGGTCCGTTACAGATCATTCCCCTGCAATTTCACTGCTCAATTCACTGTCATTTAGGAGTTAAATCACTTTATTTCTGTTTATGCAGCCCTAGCCACACTCCCCTGGCTATGATTGACAGAGCCTGCATGAAAAAAAAACCAACTGGTTTCACTTTCAAACAGATGTAATTTACCTTAAATAATTGTATCTCAATCTCTAAATTGAACCTTAATCACATACAGGAGGCTCTTGCAGGGTCTAGCAAGCTATTAACATAGCAGGGGATAAGAAAACCTTAATTAAACAGAACTTGCAATAAAGAAAGCCTAAATAGGGCTCTCTTTACAGGAAGTGTTTATGGAAGGCTGTGCAAGTCACATGCAGGGAGGTGTGACTAGGGTTCATAAACAAAGGGATTTAACTCCTAAATGGCAGAGGATTGAGCAGCGAGGCTGCAGGGGCATGTTCTATACACCAAAACTGCTTCATTAAGCTAAAGTTGTTCAGGTGACTATAGTGTCCCTTTAACTTGGCCATAACTAAAGGGTGTATAAGTCATGGAAATTTTCCTGACTTAGTTCAAGATGGCATCTTAAAGTCTGAACATCCGGGGGTGTGGCTTGGGCGCCGGACGGAATGGTGGCGTGAACCACGAGCTCCCTACAGGTTCAGCTCATATACCCTCCTAAACAGCTCCAACAGCGATCATAATGGGCAAAACGAACAAGCCACAGCAGGCTGCAGCGGTCACCAACACACCGAGGGCGTCTCAACTGTCCGGCATGCCCCAGTATCTCACAGCCCAGACCGACCATGCTTCTCAGGCCTCCGGTGACCCTGAGGCCTCGGGTCTGGTCCGCCCGGCCTCACCCAGAGACGGACGTCACGATCAGGTACAACACCCAACAGACATCTCCCTACCCCAGCTGGACTGGGTATCACTTATAAAAAACCTACCCACTAAGAATGACCTGAAGGAGGCTAATTCCGCCCTCCATAAGTCCATCACAGGGGAACTCCAGGCCCTGAGGGAAGACATGTAAGGAATCCACCATAAATTGGCCCAGTTGGAGGCAGACTGCGACCACGTGACATCGGCGCAGAACGCCACTGCAGGCACCATAAAGCGTCAAGAAACACAGTTACGTCAAATGGCCCTCCATATGGAGGATTTAGACAACCGGGGGAGGCGACAAAACATCAGTCAGGGGCCTACCCGAGGAATGGGACCAGACTTCCCCAATACGGGACACCCTCACGGAGATCTTTAACACCCTTTTACAAAGGCCGAACACAGCGCCCATTGAATTTATCAGGGCGCACAGAGACCTCAGACCCACGGGCCCACCTGACTCCCCCCCCCCCAGAGACGTATTATGCTGCCTAACACACTTCCAAGTGAAGGAAGACATCCTGAAAAGTGCCAGGGATAAAAGACAAATCAGCCACAACGGCACTGAAGTACAACCTATCCCCTGCAACGTTGGCATACCGCCGAGCCATGCGCCCACTCACACGAGTACTACAGACTAACAAGATCAGATACAGGTGGAGTTTCCCCACCGGAGTACAAGTCACCACAAGCAATGGCCCCTTCATGGTGAAGAACGACGGAGACCTGATAGATCTAATAAGAGAACTACAACTACCACCGATACAAATGGAATGGCTGGATCCAATGGCCTTCTACGCCTTTGCACCGGAGACACAATGCCAGACGCAGCAACCCCCCAGACCCAGAAGAACGAGACAGCAGACAACATGCCCTACGGGTGCCAACATGTAAAAGACCATGTACCTCCTGCCCACCCTCCCGGGAACCCACACGGCCCAGCTACTTCTAGTCCCCGAACGACGAAACTAGAACCCCTAAACACACAGCGCTGAAATCCTCAGAACCGCAAGTATACAGCCCAAGGGGCGACACACCCAACAAGGTTCTACATTGTTATAAAAGTTAAGAGACACAGAGATATACCTTGTGACCCAAGCGGCAGGATCGGCACAGATGCTCAACCCCGCAGAGCTTGGCCTGTCGGGCTACCCCTGGACTATATGTATTGAAGCTAAGGGAGGGAGGAGGGGTACCAGGGGAACACACACTTAGTCCCAACACTGCAGTGAGGGGGAAGGGGAGAAGGGATGCCCGCCCCCCCGGCTGGGCCCAGCCGCCAGAACCCAACCGCACTGTGATGAACCTCAGGGAGCAGACGGGGGGCGACGCCGGCGGGGCACACCCGGGGCGGGGGGGCACCAGCCCCACACCCAGAGTAAGAGGAAAGCGACAAAATTGGGATAAGCAGCCCATAACCACCCACCGAACAGCCACGCATTACTGAGAACAGGGGGAGGGAAGCACGATACACAGAGAAGCACTACGAAAGGTACACCCAACATAGCCACAGAGACAGAAAGTGGCCACACCAGTTAGGTTCAGACCCATGGGAACAACCTTCACGCTCCAACCCCTATCAGGGACACCCACACATCTCGAAAAAGCCAGCAAACAGGAGGCAAAGACACAAGGGACACAAACACACACTAGACAGGCGGGCCAACGGGAACCTGGGGTACAGGAAGGTGGGGGTAAACTGTACATAAACTTGAGATAAGAACTGTCGGGAATTTTGTTTTCACCTGTTGTGATCTTAAACCGGAATGTTAATGCTAATGTTATTGTTTACTTATTACTACCCAGCCACAAACAAAAGACCACGCATCAAGACACACACCCACACGAGCCCGAGAACCACCACACCCCGAGGCGGGGAAAACAGACACGCTCCCATGGAGAAATCACCAAGGAGCCGCATAGGGAAGTCACGAGACAGGACACACCACTAAGAAACCGACCCAGACGCTTGGACTCCCAACCACTGCCTGACAGGCGAGGCGTCATTCAAAAGGAGAGCATCCCATGCGCATCACTGGTGGTGCCGTGGACTGACGCTCCCCGACGCCTAAACCTAGTCATCACGAACGGTGACGCAGACAACGAAGGTCTTCGGAAATCTCCAAGACTACTTCACTACCTCAACACCCTAACCCTTACCTAATCCCAACCCCCGACTCCCCAACCCGACACTGACCGCAGAACGAGAGACATCCCGAGACTACACACACCACAGAGACTTAGGGCAAAGACACCAATACCCGTTGACAACAACCTGACTTGACGATATGGCACTGACCCCAGACTATCTACATATCCTCACGATCAATGCAAAAGGCCTAAATAAACCAGAGAAGAGATCAGGAGCACTCAGAGACTTCCACAAACAGAGGGCCTCTATAGTTATGATACAGGAAACCCACTTTAAAAAGGGGACCAGACCCAAATTGACTAATCAGCACTACACGCAAGGATACTACAGTGACTATCAAGGAGGCAAGGCTAGGGGGACAGCAATACTCCTTCACAGGAGGGTGCCATTCCAGGAGGGGGGATGCATGTCAGATGATGAGGGCAGGTACCTATTCCTTAAGGGGAAGATCGCAGACCACCAGTACACGTTCGCAAACATCTATGCCCCAAACAAACAACACTACCGCTTCCTCAAACAGACACTCTGCAAACTCCAAGTATTCACAGAAGGGACTCTTATACTGGGGGGAGACTTTAACATAACACTCGACCCGGCATGGGACAACTCATCGGGCACCTCCCACGCCCCCACACAACAACTTCAAACCATTAAATCCCTACTCCGCAGCCGACGACTCGTGGACTGCTGGAGAGCCCACCACCCAGACATGAGAGACTTCACCTTCTACTCCCACCCTCATAACTCTTACTCCCGTAGACCACATGTATACTACACATTACGACCTCTCGCTAGTGTCCGATGTAACAATCGGAGTGGCCACATGGTCAGACCACGCCCCAGTCTTACTCAAACTTAAATCACCACTCTACCGCCCCACGACCTCGAAATGGAGACTAAACGAATACTTACTTGCCAAACTAGAAGTCGTAACCCTCATAGGAGAGAAAATCAGGGACTACCTGACAACCAACACGGCGGAGCAAACATCCCCGACTATTCGATGGGAAGCACATAAAGGCGTGATAAGGGGCCACTATATACAACAGGGAGCAATATTAGAGAAACAAGCCGAAGCTCCGCTCAAGGAACTGCTGGCCAACATGCACAAGACAGATGACCAAAACAAACAAGCCCCGAACCACACACACCAAACCCGACTCCTACAATTGAGAAGGGAGCTAGCCACACTACTACACTCTAAACACCATAGGGATGCGACCAGACACAAAGCCTTCTTTACACTACATGGGAACAAAAGCGGCAAACTCATAGCCGCGATGCTGAAGAAGCAGAGGCAACACACATAAATCGACAAGATTAGAGATAAACAGGGGACTTTACACCGACTCCCGACAGCCATCATGAAAACGACTCGCACATATTACACAGAGCTATACACACTCCCCCAACCGAAAACCAACACGGCGAAGACACGCCTCAGCGATTCTATCCGCGACTACCTGACAAAATACCCGACACCGACACTGGACTCAGAGATAGCAGAGTTAATAGACGAACCCATCACAATAGAGGAATTAGCACTGGCGGTTAAACTAACTAAACTGGGCAAAAGCCCAGGACCAGACGGCTTACCGACTAAATATTATAAGACATACACCGAAGACCTATATCCACCCATGGTGGAAGCGTTCAACGCGATAAGAGACGGAAACCACATCCCCAGACAAGCCCTAACAGCTCACATCACTATTATTCCCAAAGACGGCAAAGATAGGGAACAATGCGGAAACTACAGGCTGATCTCACTTATAAATAGCGACATCAAATTCCTAGCCAAAATTCTGGCGACTCGACTTACAAAACACATCCCATCACTAGTCCACCCAGACCAGGTGGGGTTCGTGACAGGACGAGAGGCTCGAGACAACACCATCAGGGCACTCACCCTCATGCACGGGAAAGAGTACGAAAGGGGGCCTTCTCCTGCTGTCAATGGACGCAGAGAAGGCCTTTGACAGAGTCTACTGGACATATCTCTTCGAAACACTAGCCCACGTAGGACTAGGACCACACATGCGACAATGGATAGAGGCACTGTACCGAGAACCAACGGCCCAAGTGCTGGTAAATGGGACGCTAACTGATGCCTTCCAAATACACAATGGCACGAGACAGGGATTCCCCCTCTCCCCACTCCTGTTCGTCCTTGCCCTGGAACCGTTCCTTGCACATATCCGACACAACACGGACATAACCAGCCTAATGACAGGCAATACACACCACAAGGTGGCCGCTTATGCGGATGACCTACTTTTTGTAATAACCAACCCCGAAATCTCCCTCCCGAACATCCAGAGAGACCTACAGATATATGGAGATATATCCAACCTGAAAATTAACTACAGTAGATCGTTTATTCTTAACGTTAGCGTCCCTACTGCAAGGGCTAATCCCCTCCGACACAGCTTCCCCTTCCAATGGGCCGAGCACAAAATTAGATACTTGGGAGTCTGGCTGACCAAGCAGAGCGGGGATATGCTTAGGGAAAATTTCACAGACATGCTTCAGACGTTCCAAAAAGACATGCGGGAATGGTCATACCCTCATGGTTAGGGAGAGTAAAGGTCATAAAAATGAACTTCCTCCCACGCCTCCTCTACCTCCTCCAAACCATCCCCATTGAGATTCTGGGCCCCCTTTTTTTAACACCCTCAGAAAGGAAATGACCAGATATGTGTGGAACGGAGGGAAACCCAGGGTGAAATTTTCCACCCTGACGCGGCCTAAGGACAAAGGTGGATTAGCCCTCCCAGACACCTATACTACGTGGCCACACACCTGCAGAGAATTGTGGAGTGGTCAAAAGACAAAGTGCACAAACTATGGAAGACGGTGGAGGAGACAGAGGCGGGTAGACCGCTCTCGGGACTACCCTGGGGCCGAGACGCAACAAAATGGGGCGAAATGTCCATCTACACAAAACATACTCTGAAAGTATGGAGGAGGGCAGTGGGGAAGGGGAACATGTCGCCATACCCCTCTCCCCTCCTACCACTGACGCATAACAACGACTTCCCCCCGGGACTGGACCCAAGAGCCCTCAAAGACATCCTTCCATGCTTACATCCTGTCCTACAGGGAGGGAACTGCAAAAAGCTATCAGACATGATGGGAGAGATACCCCCAACCTCTATGCACCACTTTAGATATACCCAACTAACCAATTTTGTCCACACTCTACCACAGGGACCAGCACTCACTAGAGAACACACCACATTAGAAGTGGTCTGCATGCACCCAGACCCGCTCCCAAATGGAGTGTCCTTCTTATACACCATGCTACAAACAGACATCCCAACCGAGACACCCCTATTTATGGGGAAATGGGAGACTGCCCTAGGATACACACTGACCGACACGGAATGGGAGTCCATTTGCTACCTCACACACCACTGCTCTACACACAGCAAAACACAAGAGACAGCCTACAAATTACTAACTCACTGGTATAGGACACCACACCTCCTCCGCCAGATAGACCCAGACCAATCCGGCCTATGCTGGAGATGCCAACAAGAGGAAGGCAGTATAAAACACATCTGGTGGGACTGCACAAAGTTCAAACCATATTGGCAGAATATACACAAAATGCTAGAGAAATTCACGGACGAGCCACCCCCCCTGGAACCGGCAGCAATGCTCCTGCACCACAGTCCTGTTCCTCACTCTAAATACAAAAGATCTATGGCCATTCGAATACTTAATGTAGCCAAACGAGTACTCCCCCAATTCTGGAAACAGAGCATAACACCCCCACTTAAGACCTGATTCAGCCAAATGGAGGAACTCAGGACAACAGAGGAACTGACCATGACGACCAATGCTACCCCAAAGACCTACATGGACATATGGACATATTGGATCCTAGAGACGGCGAAGGAAGGATTCCAAATGGAGTCCCCACCCTAATCCCGACTTTCCTCCCCCCTTCTAAGGACCCACGCAAGACAATAACCCCAACCCACGCAGATATACTAATAGAGGAGACACCTGAGCCCTGAACATAAAACCTATATGGGTTCACACCCACCTCTCGACCTACAAGGGAAACAACCTCATGAAACACATAATGAGCAGGCGTGATAATCACCAGATAGCCCAAGGGCAACACCAAGATACAATCACGCCCTCCCGAAATATGAAACACAAACCCCACAACACAGATACACCACAACCCACACACAAGACACTCAGGACACTAAGAGGAGAGACACATGAATCCACTCAGGACACAATACACAACTTAAGACGAAGGGACCTGTGTGTTACCTAACAATAAAGGTTGGATAAGAGGCCTGCTAGCCTCAACACACACTGAACACGAATCACAACTGTTGCACACGAAACACATAAACCACATAAATACGGCTTACTCAATAAGCCAAGTGGCAGATGGATAATGTTATTGAAGTTACTTGTGAAACTTGATAATAGGGACTTGCAAGTCCGTCAACATTGCGTGCCTGTGAGCCCAACTACATATCAGTGTTTTCTTATATTATGGTAACTCACCTTAGAGACCTGCGAGTCTCAAAACCTTGAATAAGCAATATAAATAAAAATTATATTCACACACACACAAAAAAAAAAAAGTCTGAACATCCTTATCTACTTAGGTTACCACAGTACATTGTGTACTGAAAGAGTCGTAGCATAGCCTTGAAGCTTGTTTATGCATTATTGTTATTGTAATTCATCTGGGACAAGATGGCACAAACATATTATGCACTGAAGGTAGGTAAGAAGTTATTGCTTAAAGAAACAGTTATGAAAAACAATATGTTCCATTTCTAACACCT